TGTGTGTGTGTGTGTGTGTGTGTGTGTGTGTGTGTGATAGGAATATAAAATGCAGAGACAGTTACAAAATTATAATGGGAAATTAAGCCCGAAGGATGTAATAAAATTGACTCCATGTAAAAATAAATTGATTTAGTTTTTTTATGTCTAACTATTCTGAGCGGCATGGCCATTGTAGTAAAATTTTTCTCTTCTTTCTTTTACATTATTTCTAATTTTAATTTTCTGAACGAACTTTTTCATTTTATTCATATGTTTTCTCCATTTCCCTTCTTTCAGGTGGAATTTTTCGACCAATATAAGGTATGATTAAATCCATCTCTATTCAACCTTTGTTTCTTCAATTATTAGTGAACTAATGTAAAACAGAAAGCACTTTTGTTAGGTCCAGTATTTCATCCAGCTTTTATTTTGCATATGAGTTCCTGAAACAGAGTGGAGATAATCTTTGAAATAATGTCCATCACTGAAGTTATGGGTTACCTGTTTTTCTTGATACTTCTTTAAAAGTCTGGTGTAATATGTTACTCCAATGATTATTTGTGAGACTTCTGATTTCTGATATGACTCATTATCATCATCAGGAACACTGTTGTCGTCATTCTTATCCTCTTCAGCTCTGTTCCTCCATCTTAATTTAGATCAATCTGGTTGAAGCTCTAAGATTTTGGAAGACCCCTACTCCATAAGGGATTAATTCTATTAAAAAAAAACTGATTAGAACTTTAATAAGGCAATTGTCTCGGTCATATTTCTCAAATCGTTCACAATGTTGCAAGAATCTCTCTTTTTGAGACCATTTTGTTTTTGCTATTGTTAATCAACTTGCTGCATACAGAAAATATAAACATTTTTCTGTGATTAAGTATTTTATTTGGTGACATGGGCTTTATATCTATTTAACAATTATTTCCAAATCCACGCAGAGATTACATTATCTGTCAAGGACTTCATGTTTATATTAATGGATAAACTGTGTATTCCTGTCAATACTTGTGTGGTATCTGAGGATTTTGCCAATCTATGTCAGCAGCAACGCAATTTTGTCTCAACAGAAGTTAAATATAGTCATTCCTGTTGATTTCTGACAATACACATAATGTTGTTTCTCATGTTAACTATAGCAGGTTGCATTATTTTAATTTTTTGTAAAGTTGGACAGGTTGGTGAATTGACAGGGTTGCTGACATCCGATTTGGGTTCACTAAAAGAAGTTGTTAGTGAAAACATATCAAGAGACCGTGGGCTTCGGGCATTCTCCGAGGCAAGCTAATTTACATCATTTAACACGTGAGCTAGAAAAAGGGAAATAAAGTTATATTTTCATTCTTATGTCACTATCTCTATTTGCTTTCATTGTCATAATTGACACTTCATTCATCTAATGTAGATTTTTGGTACAATATGTATACTCTTCTCACTGTCAACAGAGCTTGCTCCTGTACTAGGCTTGCTGATGATTTCTGTGTCTATTCTTGTAGGTATGGTTTACGTCATCTTTCTGCAGTTGGTTACATGATAAAACATCTGCATTAAAGTGATATGAATGAAGATGTTACACTCATGGTAGAAAATCTAAGGATACATTGAATCTTTTCTTTCAAAGCGTGATGTCATTTTCAACTGTAGCGGAATTTCAACAGGAGCAGAAGGCCCTCTCTCTCTCTCTCTCTCTCTCTCTCTCTCTCCTTTGTCTCTCTTTTTGTTGGTATCGTGGATATATAGTTCTTTCAGGCATGGCTGAAGATTCAAAGGTGTTTATGCTGGTTCATGCTTAACCACAATATTTTGTGGATCTTAAATAAAACCGTGTCGGGGGAGTTCCTACTTCTGTAATTCCGTGGAAACACGGAATAATCGGTCTACCATGATCTTGGCTGGTGTTCCTGAACGGGAACTGCGAATTCTCGTGATCTTAGGGATTGATTGCAGCGGAAAACCCTCCAACTTGCCTCCTTTGAAAAGAAACAATCCGATGAGGTCACCCATAGCCACAATGGTGACTCGCTAGATCAAGCAGAGGAAGTGAATCTTTTTCTCCAAGAAGCTGCAATAGCCATACGAAAAATTATTTGGTAATTTTGATTCAAGTAGAAAAGCATCTCGACTGTTACATTTTTGAATTAAGGGGATAAATGAAGGTTTCATTTCAATCCGATAAATCAGAGAGATGAGAGTGAGGAGAAATTTAGAGGCAGAAGTCGCGAGATAGAGATTAGGGTTTGTAAGAAGGAGAATAATTGCGCCTTGCCTGCAGGACGTTACAAACCTTAGCCTATTAGCCAAGTGCATGAGATTTGCTTACCGGGCGAGCAGTGCTGTCGTCCTCACTCGCAGGAGTCAAAGGAAATCAGGCGAGCAGACAACTTACATCCTCTAGGTCAAAGGATAACATCGCAGATGCAAAGGAGAAGAGAAGGCAAGCCGCGCAGTTGTGGCTGTGGCTTGCCTGTGAGGAACAAAACTTTGGAGAAGAACCAAGGGATGAGCCTCGTTTAAGAAGGGGACTCACGTGCAACTTTGTTTTGCGGAAAGAAGAAGAGAAAGGATAAGAGGCTCACGTGCATGTGAATTAAGGGCAGCTAAACTGAGCTAATTATGTAAGGTTATGGTTTAATTTTTAAGTTTTAAATTGTTTAATTGAATGTATGAAGTGCTTGTTTATGAGTCAATGTCAAATATCATAAGCAATAAAATATTTGGTTTGAACAAGGAGAGTATACAACTGCGAAATAAAATGCTTTTAGCTAAGTGAAAGTAAAATTTCAAATTTATTAATTTAAATTGCATGTTTATGGTAGTAGTAATATTAAATCATATTAATTATTGACAAATATCATTATTGAAGACTGTGATTGTAAGATACAAAGATTTGAATTTTTTTTTCAAGTAGGAGAAAGAATGACAATAAATGTTTTTAATTTTAGAAATTTTGATGAACTATAATAGAAAAGGTATATTAAAAAATTGATATGAATTGTCGATTTGATAGAAGAAAAAAGAGAGTTAGTGAAACAAACTCTATTTGTTTCTTTTTTTGAAGAAAATATCAAGTAATTAAATAACTCCTTTAAGTTTTTGTTTAGAGCTTAATAAAATATTTGTGGAGATAATTGAAAAGCATTTTGGGTAATTGAAGGTAAATAAAAATTAGTTATTTTTTATTATATATACATAATGATTGTGTGTGTTGTGGCTTGATCCTGAAATTTATAGATGTGTAAATTTAATAAAGTTGATTTCGCTTTGCAGCGACGCCAAAAAATTGGTTTGTTATTTATGAATAAGAAATTAAAGTAATTTATGTTGGGATTCTACGCAAGTATATGTATCGTTATCAAGTGATACAAACTTTTTGCTTAAGCCCCAAATATCGATCCCACGAGGAACGTTTAAATTCGATATGGTAATCTAAATTAGGAAATTCACAGTAATAAAAAAAATTTACTATACTAATTTCAAATTTTTTGGGTGCTATCAAAATTAAATTATCAACTACTGGCAAGACTGTAAAGTAAAGTTAAACTATAACCACCAAACTATGTTTCTGTTATGTTTCTGTGATGAAATCTGTGATGAAATTATCAAATATGAGAAAATATCTTTCCCACTACAATGAGTTTTTGGTTAAATGAGAGAGATAAATTGTTTGAATTTGTATGTGACAAATATGAGCAATTTTAATTCTCTACACTTAGTCAAGTGTTATAGAGAATCGTTGACTAATCTCAGGTTTAGTTTCTAAATCCATGGTTATGCTGAGGGATACCGACTCTCATTCCAGAACTCACACTTCCTTTCCCCTGAATGTTAACTCTCGCTTTAGTTCTTAAACACTAAAACCAAATTGAGGATTTTAATCTGTCACCCTAAAATCTCCAATCCTTTGCCTAGTAATATATATATTTTTCTATTTATTTGCACTCCTATATTTCCCTATTTATTTGCACCAAATTCTATGAACAAAACACTCCTTCATAGAATTGAATTTGATTCTCACTTTATTGTAGAACTCATACTCCATTTCCCGGATCATATATTTCACAACAGATTTTAATTTTAATTGGTCAGATCAGAGTAGGAAAATCATCACAATTTATTTTATATTTTAAAATTGACACATCCAAATTACTCTTCATTTCACCATATCTCAAAGTCAGGAGAAAATACAAAGAAAATTACTCGGACCTCATGAGGAAGATACGAAAAAATTCAAATTTTATAAATAAAAAAAAAAGTTTATACAACAATAATAGACAAATACCACTTATCTGTAACTCTTCCTCTAGGCAAATCCCTTGTAGCTTCTCTTGGACTCTTTCTCTCTTTATAACACTTTTGGCTTTCTTTTTAAAGATGTAAGGAAGAAGAAATCTCTCATTTTTCTCTCTCTAACAACTCTTAAGAGAAATCACTCTTAGACTCACCACACTAGACAATAGAACACTCAAGTAAACTCAAATACACACTGCCCCCCTCTAACCACTACTTTTTCTGATCAATTTTCGCTCTAAATAAAGCATAATGTCGGTTCTCCAAGTGGTGCCTCCAATAACTCTTAAAAAACTTCCAAATTCATCGAATCTTCTAGAATTTCGCCTAGCACCGACTTTCGTCGAATCATCGAATCTTCTAATCTTCTAGAATTTCGTCGTGGTCCGAATTAAATTTCGTGCTCTCTGTTAAATGGTGCCGTCGACGCTCAGTCTGGCGCCGTCGGCGCTGATAAGGTTCTGGACTCCAGGTTCATGCTGGCGCCGTCAGTGTCCTTGTTGGTGCCGTCGACGCTGTGTATTTTTTCAAAACGCCATTTTAACTCCAAATTCTATCTTTTTTGCTTCCTGTTTGTTTCAAGTCCTAAAAATTAACCTGTAATAAAACATAAAAAATACCTTCTTTTAAAGCGACCAAAAATGAAAAATGAATATAAAATATATGTCTAAAAATGCATATATTTTTGGTGCATCATAACGTGAAAAGAACATTTCAAGGTGAACGAGTTAAATAAGTATGATTGATGTGAGTAATTATCTTCTTACATTACAATAATATTTCTTATTTCTGATTATATTCTTGATGTTAATTTTTCACATTTATGTTCTATTCCATTGCAACTTTTTTTTAATCGAAAAAGAACCTTTTATTACCTGAAAAGCAAAAATTACCCATTGAAACTTAAACTATCAGTGATGCATTCTTCATATTATTAGACAAGAAGTGTGCATATTAATATTTTTACATATAGAGCTGCATGATAGTTTTTCTATAGAGTTATTAGATTATTTCATTACATTTAGATTATAGTAGAGGTTCATTTATTCATTGGTAGATAAATGCAAAGTATCCAATAAGACAAAAATATACTTTAAAAAATGAAATGAAAATACTGTATACATGATTGATTGTATATGCATGCTAAGAGAATTCACCTATGGTATTGGCTTGAGATACCAATGTAAATAATTTTCTACCATTTCAGGCAATCATGTAATTTAGATTACAGATTGCTATGCCGACAAAAGAACGTCAGTCAACGATAAGTATGTATCTTTTCACCTCAGACAATAGTGGATATGTTCTACGCTTCGTTATGTTGACGAGATATGTATAAGTTAGGAGTGTGTTTGGTTATGTTTAGGCGAATGCTCTCGAGGGGGATGTATAAGTTAAAAATAGAAAGTATCTTAAGAATTAAAAGATTACCTATTGAAAAATAAAGTAAAAGTTAATGCATGTAAAAACTATATTTATTCCATGAGCAAATGTTAGGGATACATTTTTTTTTTGACTATTATATGGTTTTCTATAAAAAAAATAATAAAGATGAGAATACATATTTCCTTTTTTTTCTTGAGTTATTGTAGTTTAGATGTATAATTACTTAACTCATTATAATGGATAACTCATAATATGGTTTTAACATACTCAGGTTTAACATTTTAAACAGAAGATAAATAATAGAAGAGAGAATGTGTATAGAAGGCAAGTTCAACAAGCGAAAATGTAAACTTTTAATATATTAAATTTAATTACTTTTTTTAGTATCTCTTTTAATTTATTTAGATTGTAAACTGTTAGTGATAGAAAATAAAAATAAATTAACTTTGCCATCCAATCGCCTGTTTTGCCTTGGAAATTCCAAGTTCTCGGACAAGGTCCTGACATAAGTTTTAAGTGTCAAACAACCGATGTTGTATTGATTTGACATCAAATATCAAAGAAGAAGCCAATATGTTAAAGTGAAAATTGACTTATCAAATTTTAACGATTGTATAGATTCAGATGAGTTTTTCGAGATGCTCCAGATAGTGGAACGCGTCTTTGAGTACAAGGGAGTCCCACCAGATAGAAGAGTTAAGCCACCTGCTATTATGTTAAGGAAGAATGTTTCTTTCTGATGGGGAAAAATCGTTTTGTCGGCTTGAGAGGAAAATAAAATCACTATCTAGTCCACGATGAAAAAGAAGATACAACACAAATATCGTTATGTGAATTACCGATATGATATGCTCATAAAACTTCACCTCCCGCTTTACAGAGATTCTTTTGTGCAGACTACATTTAAATTTGATCAACTCATGCTGAAATAAGAGTTGGTGGAATCAGAGGAGCATGCCACTTTCAATGTACCTTAGAGGACTGAGGTCATCTATTGGTAATGTTTTGCAATTATAGTCCTATTAATTTCTACTCAATGTACAAACCCTAACTTTGAATGTGGAGTAACAATGTCACAAAGTGAGAATCACATCTTACATGCAAAGTTCAACCATAAGATCAAAAGATGAGTACATCTAGTGGGGTACCCAAGCCAATTCTACCAGAGGAGAAACCAGTCTAGAGTGGAGAGAAAATGAAGCTCAACAACACTCTTAGATCTGTCCTAGCCATGAAGTATTTCATGTGTTATGGTTTTGGGCACATTAAATCATATTGCACAAATAGGAGAATGATATTTTTCACGGAGGAGAGAGCAGTTGAAGAAATGAGCAGTGACATGAGAGAATGAAGATGTCAAAAAGGAGTATCTGCTTGCAATTGATGAGAGAGATGACAATCATTCCAGTTGAGCCCATAAGAGACTTTGGCAGGATTAGCGTTGGTTTCTTAGAACGTGGTGAGTCTAAGGAATCGATACCAAAAAATGGACAACCCTTGTTGAGGGAGTTATTGGTTGTCTTAACTAACAATTTACCTTCTGGGGGGGGGGGCTACAAGTGATAAAGGTTCAACATGTTATAGATCTCATTCTAGAGCTTTTTCAGCTAAATCAACTTACCTACGGAGTGCAACCATCCGAGCATGAGAAATTGATTACACACTTGATTGTTAAAAGCTTTGTTCGTGAGAGTACTAGCCCAGATGCAACTTCAAATATGATTGTGTCAAAGAAGGATGATTATTTATTCTATTAGGACATACTTTGGAAGGACCGATGTGTTTTAGAGTTTTATGAATGGACGCGAGCATAGATATTGTAGTGAGACTGTCTTAGATGCAATAATGAGATGATTATCTTATGGTGGTGATAGATCAATTAAATAAGTTTTCTGGGAAAAATAATGAAGCTCCTCTTACACAGGGAGAATGATGCGGGAGCTCCCGCTTTCGTAATTTCTTGGAACTGCAAAAAAGTTGGGATCTTGCAACTTGGTTGGAGTTCCTAAATGGGAACAACGAATTCCTGTGATTTCATGAATTGATTTCGGCCAAAATGACCTCTCAATTTAGTCAGATTTTTTTTTTCTTTTTAGTTTTTTCCCACTCATTTATTTCTCAATAGGATATTTTCTATTATGAGACTATTTATATGTTTGCTTTTTGTTTTGAGGGGACTTTCGATTATTGTTTTTGTGTATGGAGATCTTATTTTCTTTTTTATGCTATATGGAGTGTTGTATCATCTTCCTTTTGCAAGTATTTGTATTTTACTAAGGAATATGTGATGGATCCCCCTTGTCATCCACACCTTGCAATTTGCTTGCTGTTACTGCTGTCTAATAGCAGAAAGCTGCTATTGGGCAGCAGAAAACATTAGTATTTTGCTTCCTGTTCGCTTGCGCCCAATTTCAGCCAACATCCTTTCTCCTGTCTTTCTTACCCATCCTATAACTTACCTACCCCTTCCTTTTGTTCTTTCACACCTTCTAGGAGCCCTAGAACGGTATCACTTTATGCGAAGGCCTTGACTTATTATGGCATTGTTGTAATGTGTGAGTCAACATGAGTATATATCTTATGAAAATTAAAGTACATATTACTCAATTCTTATGTTTTAAATTTCTAATACCTAAACTTTTATTTTTACCCACATACCACCTTAGTGCATGAAAAGTGGTATTTCACTTTTGCTCAGTTAAAATAGTGGTATTTTTTGGATGATAAAAGAGGCATAAATGTAGAAAAGCAAATTTTTGGTGTTAGATATGTAAATCCATAGGAATTGAGAGGTATTTATGTAAATGTCCCAAACTAGAAACTGAGCATAGGATCTTGTTGACAGACAGTTACCTAAGATACTTACATAGAAACGGTCATTAACTAGTGGGATGCACAATGACTGTATGCTGCTTTTTAGGACTAGCGTTGCAGCATGTTATTCAAAACACTCGTACTTGCTTGTATTTGCTTCTGCTGCATTTGTCCTCTTTTTCCAAGAAGCCCTTTTTTCTTGATTACTTGTCCTTTAATATTCGAGTTTCCCAAAATTTGTGTATTAACATAGGCTTTCATGGGAGATAATTGCATATATCTTTTTATATATTTGGCCTTACTATTGAATTGCCTCTGTGACGGAATTTATTACTTTCTAGCAATATTTAAGAGATCAACCGTACCTGTCTTCCAATCCCATGGAATGATCCAAGCAAGTATTTCTGATTGCGCAGCTGAAACATTTTCAGCAATCCGTACTGTGAGTTTATCACATGTTCTTTTCCTTTTTATGTATTTGAACTCTCATATTTTGTCCTTAACCATATATATCATTGAAATTTATTATTGAATTGTTATTTGCTCAACTTTTTTTTTTGTAGGTCAGATCATTTGCTGGTGAGAGAAAACAACTGTCGATGTTCGGGAATTTGGTAAGATTTGATTCTTTTAATCAGTGGGGAGGGAGACTAATCATTGAAGTGCCTTTAGGTTATAACAATATACCAGCGTGATTGTGGCAACAAAAAAAAAAAAAAAAAAACCAATTTTATTTTTTGGTGCAATATTCATAGGTGAATTATTTTATTTAACTGGCAGGATTTTTGTGAGTAATTTGGTTTCTCATTGTCGTTCTAGTTAGCTAGAGAAGTCACCTGGCCTTGTTCCATGTGTTATCAACATTTAGTGAAATCAGGGCATTTACATACAGAGGACTCAATGTATTTATATATCTAATACCCAAATTTTGTTTTTTTTTTTTTGATTTATTCCACCCAAATATTTCACATCACATTAAAAATACTATTATTTTAAATTTTAAAGAGTGAAATACACGTTCCCTCCATAAGGTGGTATGCGTGTAAAAATTGAAGATTAAATGTTAGATGTGTAAATACATAGGAATTGTGTTATGGATGTAAATCTTCCAGTGAACTTTAATGTCTGGAGAATTAGTTATATCGATCTGTTGAAACATCTTTCAACAAGCAGTAAACAAGATAAAATGGTTCACTCGACAACTCTTACGATGTGGACATATTTGAATTCCTCTATCGGCTATTGGTCAGATTTTTTTTTGTGTTGATAAAGCCTTAGGGTCCATGGTTTAGTGTAGATTTAATATGAGATATAGATAGCCATGTAATAAACATTGACAATTCATAGTATATCAGCTGTTAATCCAAAACAACTTGATTTTGTTATCATCAATTTACTAGAAAAAATTAAATATTCTATCATAAACTAAGATTATGATTAACGACAAAAAGACATGCATGATTGAAATTTAGTCACTTGAAACAAACTGTTGAAAGGTCTCGTAAATAATGATGATTGTATTTCATATTTGTTATAACTCTATATTTAGAGGGTTATAAATTGTATGAGGGATCTTAGGAATCTCTATTTATTTTTTCCTTAATTAGAGAGTTAGTTGCCTCTTTTATTTATTATTATTTCTTTCCTTGTCTGTTGTATTATGTTTTTATTGCTTTTCTTACTAGTAAGTCCTGTAATGAGTATTAATACCCCTCTTTGCATCAATAAGAATAAGTTCTCTTATATTTTTCCACAGTTTTTCATGGTATTAGAGACACGTTGAGTATTTAGGATATGAATTTTTGGAGTCGTCTGCTTCGCCTGGAGAGCTCGATCTTGTAGCTGTTTGCCTGATCTGCGTAGCTCCATCTTGGAGCTGTTTGATCTCAATGTTGGAGCTATTCGACACTCTAAATGCTTCCTCTGTGCCGCACGATCTCGAGCTGTTCTCCTGTTAAAGCTGTTCAATCTTGATCTTGGAGCTGTTTGACGCCCTAACTGCTTCCTTTGTGTCGCTCGATCTCGAGCTGTTCGCCTGGAGAGCTCGAGCCGTTCTCTCGACGCTCAATTTGTTCGCTCGCCGCTTGATCTGTTCACTACGATAGCAAGCGTCCGATCCTCTGTGGCCTCTTCCGCTTTCCATTTTCTTCCCATCTCGTGAAGGCTGTACTTCTCTCTAAGGCGTTAATTCTCCGAAGGCGATAATATTTTGCTTCGACGGACGAATCTCGGGCTTGAGCAAATTCACCGTCCTTCATCTCTAAAATGTCTGAAGTCACGTCTAGGACAAGCCAACATCTTCAACCATCTCAGTCCGAACCTCAGAGAAATATATCTGAAAGTCATCCCATTCAAATCACTACAATCCGACTAAATGGTGATAATTTTCTTCGATGGTCACAATCTGTTCGCATGTATCTCCGAGAAAGAGGAAATATTGGCTATATCACAGGTGATACTAAACAACCTGACGTGAATGTCATAACTTATGCAATTTGGGATGCGCAAGACTCAATGGTAATGACATGGTTGGTCAATTCCATGACCGAAGAGATAACTGCAAATTATCTGTGTTACTGTACAGCCAAGGAATTATGGGAAAATATTTCAGAAATGTACTCTGATATTGGGGAAATTTGTTAAGGTGAGGATTCTGTGACAAAGTATTTCAATTCTCTTAAGCGGATTTGACAGGACCTAGACTTTTTCAACAATCATGAGTGAAAATCAAATGATGACGACAACCAGACAAGAAGATAGTGGATACTGGCCGAATATTCAAATTTCTTGTAGATCTAAACGTTGAATATGATGAGGTCCGTGGCCGAATAATTGGAAGAAATCCCCTGCCTCCAATTGGTGAAGTTTTTGCGGAGGTAAGGAGAGAAGAGAGTCGGAGACATGTGATTTTGGGAAAGAAGACTGCAGGTTTAATTGAGTCTGTGGAAGGATCAACGCTAGCTATTCTTGAAGCTCAAGTAAGCAGGAAAACTTCTCACAACCAGTGCGTAGAAGACAAAAAATGACATGCACTGTGACTACTGTGGAAAGCCACGCCATACTCGCAAAAAATGCTGGAAATTGCGTGGTAAACCACCTAATGTTAAGGGAAAAAAATCTGGTGAACATAGCACACCTATCGCAAATGAGGCTGAGTCATCTCCACTTAGTAAAGAGTAATTAAGTCATCTCCTTAAACTGCTGAAATCTTACTCATCATCTAATGCGCCTATCGGTTCTATAGTTGCTCATCATCTAATGCGCCTATCAGTTCTATAGCACAAGCAGATAATAATCCTTTGGCTTTTCTAGAAAGTACCACTTCTTAGATCATTAATTCAGGAGCCTCTGATCATATGACAAATTGTTCTCAATTATTTGATTCATATTGTCCATGTTCCGGTTCCGAAACATGGATACTGAATTTACTAAATTAAATGGATGGGTACTGATTTATGGAGTTATTAAATCCAGCCAACTTTAAATCTTACTTGCAGCAAAACAACACTTTGTTACGGCTTGTCTTTTGCCTACTCTTTTGCTCTTACGTGAGCAACCATTTCATTTGGCAGGATTTTTTCTTAACTATCACTTCCTGAGAAGGCCTACTTTGAAAACACTATAAAAGGTGGTGTGACTTTTCACATTATCTAATTTTACTAAGAGTAATAATATCACCAAATGTTTATAAATTATGTTAATAACAGAAATTCCTTGCATATTTCCTCAAAATGTTGGGACTCTTAAGGATGGATCCCAAAATAGAAGAAAAATATCACCAAATTTTTTTGTGATGGTAAGAGTGCGGTGGAACAAAAAACTAGAACTTCTTTGGCATTGCCTTGAACTTGGGAAGATCAAGTGTTTAAATCCCAACAAAGAAAGGAAAACAATATCCTATTCATTAAAATTTCTGTCATTAAGCTAACGGAAGATATACCTCTCAAGTAAAAAAAAAAGTCACATACACTCTCAAAATGGGTGAAATGAGAAAAAAGGAAAATTTAATTTTCATGCAATATCCTTGACGCCTCTAAAATTTCAGAAGGGACTGAATAATAGCCAAAGCAGAAGGGCAAGAGTTAGTGCAGGAGTTTGAAGTGTCGAAGACTAAGCGGAGGTGAAGGAGAGGGGGTTATTCACTGCTATAAAGCAGACAAGAGAGAGATTGTCAAGCAGCACACACCCTCAGTTTCAAACAAACTTGGAGAGGACGAACTTGGTTCGACGAAAACTACAGAGGCCAAAGCCGAAGATGGAGGGCTTGATGCTGATAGCACGCTTGAGCCTTGCATTCGAATCGAACACGGAATGTGTTTGATTAGGCTAGCAGGATATCAGCAATCCCTCACGAGAGCTGCAGGCATCGTGCTTGTACAAACACGCAGGTGGAGGAATTTGTGCTGATCTTGTAGATCCTGCTGTGACGAGCGGAGGAAGAAGGAAATTGGGCTCAATTGTATGAGTATGGAATTGGAGGAAGTGAAACCATGAGCTTTGGTATGTGTTTCAATTTGGAGCAAGAGCAAACTCGATTAAGGCAGTGGGATTTCGGTTCAAGTTCTTACTTAAGTGAGTTTTAAGTTAAAAAAAAGAAAATAATACTATTGCTGCAAATTACTTGGGAGGCCTAGCCTGCTCAGGTTTTCTATCCATATCTACTTTGCAAGCAAAAAAAAAAAAAAAAAGGAAAGTAGTTTCAGTCGAAGCAAGAGGTAGAGAAGTTATATTTTGCTGTTATATAGATATCAATACATTTAGCTTCCAAGTCAACTTTTCTTCCTTTCATACACTTTCTTTCTCATTTGATGGATTTACTTTCTGAGCATAATTACTTGGGAGGACTAGCCTGTTCAGTAATTTTAGACTCAAACGCGAATTTTAACATTTTTTCTTCTAATATCAGGATCATCATTTCTATATTTTCATTAATGTCTAAATCCTATGCAGTTACTTGCTTACGAGAATAGTGGCTTAAAACTAGGCACTCTGAAGTCAGCAAATGAATCATTAACGCGGGCAGTCGTTTATATTTCCTTGATGGGCCTTTATTGCCTTGGTGGAAGCAAAGTAAAGACGGTAAGGATCACCATTTTCTATCTAAAAATTGCTCCAATATTTTTCTTGATCCCAGAAAACCTTTAGCTTGAGTTAAAAAATCTTGGCTTCTTACATGCTTGAAATCAACTCCATTTCTCGTTGGATAAAAAAAAAGAACAGCATTCAGCCATATGTTTCTGTATCAGCATCAAAGTTGTTTTTTATAGGGATGTATCGACTATAATGTACAAATTTTATGCATTACCAATTTAAGTTATATTTTCTTGGTTATTCTTATTTATTGACATTTTTTGCAGGGTGAGTTGTCTGTTGGTACTATGACATCTTTCATTGGCTACACCTTTACATTAACTTTTGCTGTGAGTTACCGTGTGCTCTTAAAAGCAGGCCTAAGAATTTTGAAAATAGGAATGCTTTCTTATTATTTGTTATCTAGTTTTAGGGGATGTCTGTCTGGTAACAGCTTTAGTAAGTCCTGTAAGTCCGGATTTACTAAACTCTACCAACACCAGTATTTATAAATCTAGAATTTAAGACAAAACTGAGAGGAACTGAGAAGAAGCTGGATTTACTAAATCTAGGATTTAAAATTTGCTTTATTTTTCTTTCCAGCAGATTTGAGTTAAATCTCACTTAAATCTGTTACCGACAGCCACTCAGAGACTTTTAAGGCACACTTTTTTATTTTTTATTTTATTTTTTTTTTATAATTATGAGATCATGTATATGCCAGGTTCAAGGGGCTGTTAACACATTAGGTCATCTTCGTGGAACCTTTGCTGCCATTGAAAGGATTAATTCTGTTCTTTCTACAACTGATGTTGATGAGCCGCTGGCTTACAGTTTGGAGAAGGAACTTAAATTAGAAGGTCTTAAAGGCGATAAGCCTTGGTTTATTTATAAAGATGACTACTCCTCCAAAATCCATGCCCAAAATAAGCTTTATATGCATGAGCTGAGATCGGTTGCTAACGGGTGCAGTCTAGCTTGGTCAGGAGATATTTGTCTTGAAGGTATTATTTTTAATATTTGCTGTTTGAATTGGTCTGCTATTTTTTAAATTAAACGATCGATCCATATTAATATCTACCCAGTCTGATTTCGCTGCTGTATGATCATGCTGTTTGATATGATGATCATGCTGTTTGATATGCAATCTAAAGTTTTCAATTAAATATGTGTTTGGCTGACAATCATGATAAAGTTTCTCACTTACATGTCGATTCAAGATTGTTTTATTCTTACGATTTCTAATGCTTGTAGCGGTCAGCAATATTTCATAGATCATTGGGTTATGCATTATTGATTAAAATTTGAATCTGGAACTTATTTTTTATGGTTTTCAAAGATTGTTTGATATACAACCTTTTACAATTGAGCACATAGAGAAGTTAATATGAATATTAAACTTCTTGTTTAAAACCATTTGTTGAAGAAAATAGGAAAATGTCAAATGCTTCACTGCAATATATATATTTTTTGCTTAGTATATAAAATGTTAAGAAAGTTATTTTCAACCGATGAAACAGAGTAGAATACGAAACTTTTGTAGTATTATTAGGTGAAAAAAGTGCTAATACAATGCTGATTCTGCCAGTAGGTGGCGAATGGATTTCCAGAAGATAAGAACACCAAGGGTCCTCATGAGAAAACATCTTATTTGAAGTTTGATATATTTTGTCGAGTGCATGAAATTACCACCGTTGTACTGGAAAACAAATTTTTATCTTGTGAAGGTTCTGCGCTATCATGATTGCTAGGAGATCTGTGCAACTCTGAGTGTGCTTTGAAGCATCCTGAGTAGCTGTAACTGAAATTAAATAAAAATGAAAGGGATGAATGCCTTTTAACTCAACTTTGTTTTTAGTAGCCACTAACCATAGAACTAACAAAATTTCATTCTTAAAAATGGGTAATAACATTCCATTTTTACTAGAATCCTACTGTCTTCATATCCTGACAATTGTAGCATCTAACTAAACTGCTTTACTAAAACTTGAGCCAAAAGAATATATAATCGATTTGTTAAGTAGTGAATCCATAAACTCAAATAATCGTGTAAAAAATAATAATAATAATAATAATTTGGTTTTATTGGTTTGAGCAACTATCTTGACAGTTTCAACAAGGGGAGTCAAATATGTTACATCATTGACATTAGAAGAACAGACAAATAGGAGCTATAGGCGAGGGTGAGAAGGTGATGAATCATATGCCCAACCCTATTTGCGCCTTAGCGTGTGTATGTGAGAAGAAGCCGTACGTGGAAAGCCTATAAGAGCGCTCGTGCATGTCGCGCGAAGGAGGTAAGAGTTGAGAGCAAGATTGTGGCTTGCAACAGGAGGAAGTGGAGGTGACTTGCTGCCGGAGTTGTGAGGTGACGGAAGAAGAGGACAGAGAAGGAGCATCATGCGGGACTATATGTATGAAGGAAACGAAGATTTTAGTATTGTGTGCTTGGGGTGCAACTTCTTATGAAGGAAAAGGGAAGAGGAAGTCATGCCCTTGCCGAACGATGGAAAAGGGAAGGGGTGGTTTAACTGAGTGGCTTTGCGTGCGGGTGAGGGAGTCGAACAGTGCGAATGAATGTATAGATGCGACTGACATGTGAGAAAGATTACAAAGCTTTTAATGACGTAAGTATGGTTTGTTTATTTGAGATACTTTTATATTAGATTGGTGGAATTTTAATGAATTAATTTAAATTTTTTAATGAATAAATCATTAAGCAGAAGTGGAAGGTCAAATTTTAGAGCGTCGAGATTTGACCCTAGTTAAAATTAGGTTAGTTTTTATTATTTTATTAAGATATTAATTCCAATTAAAAATTTTTATGTTATTTATTATTAATAATATGAATTGAATTAAAGATTAAAAAAATTTTGATTCAAGGATTAGAGCTTTGGATCATCAATTCGGTAGAACAAAGAAGAGAATTAGTGAGGTAAGCTCTAATTATGCATTTTTTCTTTAAAAAAATTAATTGATACTTTATGGTCTTGTTTAGAACATAATAAAATATTGGTGGAGATAATGAAAAAAAATTGTGAGTAATTAAAGATAAAAATAAATTAGTAAATATGAATCATAAATACTGTTAGGTGTTACAGTAAGAAAATAAGGTTTCTAGAAGAAAAAAGATGAACAAATACAATTAAGATGAGTAATTATGTTTCTAAATTTCAGTAATAATTCTTATTTGTAAATGTAGTCTTAATTTTATTTATGTTTTATACCGATGAGATTTAAATTACAATTATATTGTTAGACATAAAAAATACATGTTAAATGGTTGAACAATACATTTTTAATAAGATGCCATGTTATTACATGACTTCTAGATTATAATAAAGGTGCATATATCAAATAATTACATTACCTTTAGATTCTAGTAGAACTGCATTTATTTATTGGTAGATAAATGCAAATTATCTCGTAAGAAAATATTATGTATTATGAAGAATGAAATGAAAGTATTGTATGCATGAATACGTATATGTGCTAAGAGGAGTCATCCTACTCTTATGATAGTAGATGGGGTCTTGAGGATGTTAATATACTCGTGCGTGCAGACGTGTTTTTACAATATCAAACAATTATAAAATTTTGGATCGTAATTGCTATGCCGACATGAAAATATCAAACATATGCGAGTAGATATTTTTTCACCTCAGACATTAGTAGACCTAGTTTGTTGTTCGCTATGTCAATGGAATATGTATTGGTCAGGTATGTTAAATTATATTTAGACACTGCTTCTGATGTAGATGTAAAAGTTAAGAGTAACAAATATACTAAATTTAGTAGAACAAATCTTGAAAAGTAAAATTAAAGTTAATGCATATATAATTCTAGACTACTATAATGAACATGAACAAATGCCATGAATATATTATTTAAATTATTATATTGTTTTCTATAATAAAATAAGAAATATTACATACATATTATCCTATGTTCATTAAGTTACTATAATTTAATAAGTAATTACTCAACTAAGTTATTTTAGATAACACATTATGTTATTTAATTTTTTTTAGATTTAAAGTTTTGAATAGAAGGCGAGTAATAGATGATGAACAAAAGATGAGGTCAAAAAACAACAAATTAAAAAAAAATTAATTATTTTATTTAGATTTTAAATTGTTAGTGATATTTAATGAAAATCGAAAACTTTAATTTCACCGTTTGATTGTCCATTTTTGCCTTGAAGATTCGAAGTACCTGAGCCCAATAGTGATAAAAGTGATATTAGAGAAAATAATAGAACAAGTAACATGAATCCTATTAAAAGAGTGATTAAGATACATATGAATCTTAAATCATTAGGAATTTAGGTGATTTGAGTTAAATTATCTCTAACTAAATAACCTTATTTTATCTCAAACACATGGATGTTCAAGGGGAGGTTGGGGATGGGTGTGAGAGGAATTACCACCAAAACACTTGATGAAAGTGCTAAATCGGCAACCGATTATGGGCGCTAAAACAACGCCCGATTACTGACGCTCAAATTGCGTCCGGTTTGGACCGCTGATTAATGTAAGAAGCTGCGTGAAGACGAGAATAAATGCCGAGCAGGAGCAGGATCGGGAACTATTGTGATCCGGGAAGGAGGCTACCACACCATGAAAGCATTTCTAGATTCTTCTTGCCTTCCTATTGTGTGGGAGTTTTCTTTTTTATTTGTTTTTTATTCTTCCCGGGTACGAGTCTATAAATTGCTATTTTCTGTGTGCAAGAGTTAATTTTTGGTTGTGTTTATTAGTTCTAGATTTTAAGATTAAGAGTTGTAAAATAAAGAATACTAGGACTCATCATCGTCATCATCGTAGAATTAACTTAAAAGTCACAAATAAAATTATTTTTATGAGTAAAATTCAAGATTTCAAAATTTGGGATATTCATGAAGAAGCAAATGTTATGTGGGATAAAGTAACAAACACTATTAAACAAGTAGCAAAAGATGTGCTTGGAGAATCAAAAGAAAAAATTTTTATAAATAAAAACAGTTGGTGGAATAATAATGTGCAAGAAAAGATAAAATATAAGAAGTTATGTTATAAAAATTGGTTTGAATGTAAAAACTTAGCGAACTGGGAAAAATATCAAATGACCCGCATGGAGTCTAAAAGAACAATCTGTGATGCTAAAAATTAGGCTTTTGATGATCTTTATAATATATTAGATACTAAGGAGGGTGAAAAATATATGTATAAACTAGCCAAACAAAGAAAAGAAAAGTAAAGATTTATAACTCAAGTAAAGTGTATTAAAGATGAAAATCAAAAAGTACTTAGAAAAAGATATTCAACACAGGTGGGTGAGTTACTTTGATAAATTTTTTAATGAAGTTTCTGAAAATACGATCGACCTTAGTGATCTTAATATCGTGAATAATAATAAAATGCTTCATTTTTGTCGTCACATTAGTATAAAAGAAGTTGAAGAGACTTTAAAGAAAACCAAAGGTGGAAACTCTGTAGGATAGGATGAAATCCCAATTGACGTGTGGAAATATTTTGGAGATTTGGGAGTTTCTTGGCTTACTAAACTCTTTGATATTATTTTAAAAACTAAAAAGATGTCTGAGGAGTGGATGAAGAGTATTTTGGTACCCATTTTTAAGAATAAAGGGGATGCACAAGAGTATGCAAATTATAGGGGAATTAAGTTGATGTGTCATACTTTAAAGTTATGGGAGAGGGTAATTGATTATAGGTTAAGACGCATCACAAAGATATCTCATAATCAATTTGGATTTATGTCGGGCAGGTCTACTATGGAAGCTATACATTTATTGAGAGGTTTGATGGAGAAGTTCAGAGACGATAAGGTTCCAAGAGATATCCTTTGGAGAGTTCTCGAGAAGAAATGTGTTGATATGACTTATATTGAAGTCATTAAAGATATGTATACTAGAGTTGTTACTTGTGTTCAAACTGAAGGAGGATTGACAAAATATTTTCCTATTTCTGTTGGTTTACATCAGGGATCGACTTTAAGCCCATAT